TATTTAATCATTACTCAGGTGACAGAAGCTTCACATAAATACAGAGCCTTCAGTTCATATTTGATGCTTAATCTTAATGCACACACAATGTTGCATCCAAGTGTAAACAATCCAGTAAATATTTCTATAAATCAATCAAGATAAGCTAATATTGAATATTTGAATGTCAACAAACATTTCACTTTTCAGCCTTGTTTTGATCTTCAAGGTAAGTATGCTGGGTGTTGCAATCCCCAAAGCACAACTCTGTATACTGACCACCAGTCTAACCGATTTGCTTTCTCTCTCTTTTTCTCTTCCATGTTCCCGCTTTGCTGCATGGTGTCCCTGTTCCCTCTGTGACCCATGTTGAATCCTTAATCACCAAATAAGGTAAGAAAAAATACTTGTTCTCATTTGTCTCCACAAAAAAATACATATCACTGATGCACTGACAGCTGCACATCAACCTCCAGAAGACATATAGTGATATATAAATCAAAGACACACACCCACACTTTTCTACTAAAAGACGCTGCTCATACGTTTTCTCACAAGTGACACATACACTCAGATACAAAAGATAAAACCACACTAAAGATTGCTTCAGTCAGGCAGTGTGCCGAAATGACAGCTCATGTGTGAGAGTGTGTGTTTGAAAAGTATGATGTGATGGTTGGCTTTTGTGTTACTGTGCACCAAGTTCCGCTCATCATCACATGGACAAAATACACAATCTATTTAGTAGATGCACAAATGTGCAGAAAACCAAAGTAGGGAACATCCAATTGAAACTGCTGATTAGTTAGCTAAATGGCTTTTCCTTCTAACGGGCTTACATGGTTTAAGCAAAGCATTAGCTGGAAACCCAGCTGGTAAAGAAACTCATGACAAATCGAAGTGTCCAAGATGATATTACACTCTATTCTTCTGTATTTTGGTTTTCGTAAATCAGAAAGTAAAATTCATGAAGATTATTGCATTTAAAAAATTATACGAAGAACATGGACATGACCAAACAAAGAAAGATCATGTAATAATTATAAACAGACTAATGTCAGAGGAAAATAAACAATATTTTTTACCAGCAGATTGTGTACACAAACGTAAACCTCTGTTTTTTTTTCCTAAGTACCAGCAAAATCCTACGGACCTCAGTATTTTGAGTAGTTCTATCCTGCTAACACTTTGTTGATGTTAACCACTGCTGGAACCTCTTTTCATTTTTATAGAACTGTAGTCTCAAAAAAACCTCTCTGTGAATGAGTTAAAAACCCATTCAGAACAGATTAAGCAACAGCCTACAATCACATAGTGAGGTTTTATTGTATTTTTTTTATTAGTCCTACTCACAACTGACTAAACCACCGCAATAACTATGATGTACACATACTGGGAGAAGTCCTATTGCTTTTGTCAACTTGCATCACTTAATAACTATGCACTTATTTAAGACTCAAATTGTTATGTGTTGCCCTATTTTCCATCAATCTCTGTCAGTTTATATCTAGAAAAGTAAAGATATTTTTCTGTCGTGCATGCATGGGTAAAAGATGCTTACGCATAGGACTGGTATTTCTGTGGATCACAGTATTTTTCAAGGTTTGCAGGGATACCTCCTGTCTGGTGCGTGTTGTGACTTCCTCGAGCTTACACACGACCAGATGACTGCAAAACATCTGCATCTGTTTCTTACATGTACTAAATTCTGTGTGAGTCTTGAACAAAATTCATGAGATGGAATCAGAGGCATATGTATGTATTCATAGTAGCAAAAAGTTATCCAAAATTGACAGACACATCTTTTAAAAACATTGGCATGCTAAATCTAAGCCTCTTTGTTGAACACATAAAAAACATGGCGTTCCCATATATTTTGTTGCATGAGTAGCAGTATATTCTAGAGTTAAAGACAGATAATCACGCAAGGTAAGCAATGTGAATGGTTGAATGAGTAGATACTTATGATTATATTATTTTATGGGGGAAAACAACATCGCTATTGATATATACTTCATCCTGTATGCAGAGGGCATGTAAAATCTGCAACAGCAGCAGTTGGCCGCCTGTGTGGCGCTGTCCACACCAGTGGTGCTGAAAACAGCTCCGATGCTCTCCCCCTCCCTCACTTGCCTCCACATCTCGCTCTGTCGCCTACCAAAATGAGAAGCATATTAAACACACCGTATAGAGTACGTTCTTATTCTTTTAATTATTTGGTCCATTTAAATGTGACAATATTTAAGAACTCTTAAAGTAATCCTTTATTCCTAAAAATGTCTGTCTTTTTTATTTTTTTATAAAAAGGTTAATAAAAAGGCTATAACTGCTGATAACCCTGATATGTGTGGAAAAAGGTTGTTTTTATGTGTTTGAGGCAAGATGTTGTAAGGTCTTTGTATCTGCCTGGGTCTATGATTGAAGGCGAGTGAGGGAGAGATGCAAATGCCTCCTTACCATGTGCGCTCCCCCACCCTTTTCACTTGCTCCACAGACCTCCATACGGGTACTTTAGGTTGGCTGATGTCACATTTCTTCATCTGAAGCGCACCATGAGCTGTGCAGACGTAATGACGTGTGCAGCCTGCACTGGCTTTTCGTGGCCACAGGAAGGCAACGAAGAGCCTTGTCTGTCAAAGAGACAAGTGCATGCATGTATGGGAGAGGAGAGATAGACAATTGCAAAGCCTTACATAAATAGAATTAGACAGAGCATTTATTAGCTCGTTAAGATAACATTAAGTTAATATATTTATATATATATGTATATAATTTAGATGATCTGAATGTATGATTGTATTCAATGCACTGATGTTTCAAAAACAGTTTAAAATTAAAGAAGTGACTGTTTGACTGTTTTATAAATATTTAATTACATTTTATTGTAAATTATATGGTATCACCAGTGTAGTGTAATTGTATAATTCCACCTCAGTATCAAGGAGACGTACAGCGGTGCCATGATTGGTGGAAATCACTTTTCTCTGTGCACCAATGACGTCCAGAGCTGTAAAAAGAGATCTACTTTCTTAGTGTGCACCATCAGACTCGCAACCGTTACAATGTTGTGCACAGGAAGGGAGGGATGCACATGCAGACGCAAAGCATGAATTTTGCTGTTTTCTTTGAAGATTCGTCTTCGTCGGATTATAAACCTTCCATACATCAGTTTGAAGGTTGGAATTGGACAGAAGAAATATGGGATTGGTCCAACGTCGAATAACGTGGAAAAAGATGCCGACATGGCAGGTGTTTCTTTGGTGGCACCAATTCTTTTTTTTGTGGAGTACAATAGACGCACAGATTCGATATAGTATCCCAGAAGAAGTGAAACAGGGATCTGTTGTCGGAAATATAGCCAAAGATTTGGGTTTGGTTGTGTCTGAGCTGTATCGGCGTAAATTGCGGATAACATCTGAATCCGGTAAGCAGTATTTTAATGTGGACCTGGGTAAAGGAGAACTCGTAGTGGCTGATAGAATAGATAGAGAAGATCTTTGTGCACAAAGACCGTCATGTCTATTGCCTTTGGAGGTGGTAATAGATGATCCTCTGCAGCTGCATAGGATAGAAATTGAAATACAGGACACAAACGATCATTCTCCCAGTTTTCTTACAACGGAAAAAGTGGTGAAAATAGCTGAACTTGTAAACCCAGGGGCGCGATTCCCTTTAGAGGTGGCCCAGGATCTTGACGTTGGGATTAATTCTGTGCGCTCATATCTGATAAGCAAAAATGATCATTTCAAATTAACTGTTAAAACCGCAAAAGACGGAAGAAAAATTCCGGAACTAGTACTTGAGAAATCCCTAGATCGTGAAAAACTGCAGATACATAATCTCATCCTAACTGCTATAGATGGAGGAGATCCAGTGCGTTCAGGGACTTCTGAGATTAAAGTTATAGTCCTTGATATAAACGATAATGCACCACAATTTGAAAGACAAGTGTATGAGGTCAATGTCAGTGAAAAGGCTGAGCCAGGCACTAAAATATTGCATGTTAAAGCTGCTGATGCAGATGAGGGACTAAACGGAGAAATTGAATATTTCTTTGCAGAGCAAACTACGGATCTGGTGTTGTCGTTATTTGATATTGAACGTTCGACTGGAGCAGTTGTTGTAAAAGGAATTTTAGATCACGAAGCCAACTCTTTACATAGATTCGATATAACTGCAAAGGACAAAGGAAACCCTGAGATGGATGGGCATTGCGGTGTCGAAATCAAAGTAGTTGATGTCAACGATAACATTCCTGAAATAATTGTTACGTCTTTGACAACCCCTGTTCCAGAAGATTCTGCAGTCGGTACAGTAATTGCTCTAATAAGCGCAAAAGATCCAGACTCCGGGGTTAATGGAAAGGTGACGTTAACTGTTTCTCCAAAATCCCCTTTCAAGTTGAATCCGTCCGTTTCCAACCATTATTCTTTAGTAACAAACGCGCCACTTGACCGAGAAAAAAATGTCGATTATAGTGTAACAATTAGGGCCAAAGATTCAGGAAAACCTTCGTTAACAAGTGAGAAAACCATAGTTGTCAAATTATTAGATGTAAATGACAATCCACCCGTTTTCTCACAAGCATCCTTTATCGTTTATGTAAAAGAAAACAACGCTCCAGGGAAAATATTGTGCTCGGTATCAGCCTCTGATCTGGATTCTGGAGAGAACGCAAAGATCTCTTATTCCATACTGGA